AATGTATTCAACTTGCAATCTATGAATTTTGCATTAATAATTAATGAATACATATCAGAATGATACAAGTCATTCTTCTAGAATGGTCATAATACAAGTCGTTCTTCTGGAACGATCTATAATGCAAGTCATTATTCCTCTGGAATGATCCTTTGCATGGCATTCTTTTGGAACGGCCTTATCTTTCCATTTGGTTGCCTTTAAGGATGTCGTACAAAATATCAAAATAAGAGTACAAGCATGAAATAACACAAGTATTGCTTACATCCTTAGGTGGGAGAAACTTTGCTCAAATATCATTCAAGCTCGTATCGGCTCAGCAAATATAATGTAATGCTTGATGATCTAGTTATATCCTGCAAGAGCAAAATCACAATTCTTCTGTCTCTGTCAAAAAAATAACCCTCAATGTGAGGTTCACTACATGGATTTGTTCTTCAGATGTTCGTTCTAAAGAAAACAAAATCTCTTATGAATAGAGAGTTATAAAAAGAGAGAAAAGATACAAAAAAAATTGTGATATTGATTGCAAGGTAGGTAAGATATCAGGGAAGGAAACTAGGGAGGTAACAGACAACAAACTTTCATTTCTCATAGCCTAGACGAACTTCAGGAGATTAGAGCATGTGGTCGTCCTTCTAGTTCACTGATCTAGCTGAAACGTGATCAGGGATAGTCTTGCTTCCTGCATGGATGATCAGAGATAGTCTTGCTCCTCAAGCACATCAAGTGCTCACTGATAGGAAAAACAAGTGGATATTGCATCACTAGATACGGAGAAAACTGGATGTATTATGCAAAGAAGATTTCGTTAGTAACATATTTATACACAAATTAGAGGAACAGGTAGATCCGGTAAATTTCAAATTAACTAAAATAGTCCTTGAAACCCTCTAATTTGTGTATAAATATGTTACTAAACTTCCTGATCTGCACGTTAATAAACTTCCACATTTCCATCTATAGATATTGCCTCTGCAAGTCTTGATCTGCATTTCAACTAAACTTCCTTCCATTTTCTAAAGATTAAGCTTTTATAGGACTTTCCTCAAAACCCTCTTAAAATGGCTTCCTCTTCTTCTCATCCAAATTATTTCGATTTAAATGTTGCTCCCAAAACAACCTGTGATGCTAAAGTCTGGCGTCCATCATTTGTATCCCAAAATCGTCATCTCACGGCTAATGATTCTGTGATGGTTAACGATTCTGTGATGATGAATGATACGATTGCTGTCATAGTTGCTAGGAATTTCCTTACTCCTATGGATGAAATACTATTAACAAAAAGGTGTGACGAATAGGCTATTGACGACTCAATGGCTTTTAGCATTTAGAGTGCTGCTTTTGTTTCTAGCATGGTTGATTGTTTGCATGCCAGAGCAAACGAGATTCAAGAGTTTAACACTGAAAATTCATCTTTTCGGAGAATGCTTCATGAGTCTCAGCAAGAGGTTGAAAAACTTAAAGAGGAAAATAAGGCCTTGTTGACATGCTGCTGATTTCCAATGAAAAGATTTTGGGAGACCACGAGAGGCTCATGGCTAACTTAACAGGCGTCGTCCTCTTCCTTCAGAGGCTTCCATAACATAATGAATTTTTATAGATTTTACAGAGACTGCTCCTTCCTTGTAGGTGAAGAGAACCTATCTGTTGTATGCTCCTTTCTTGTTATAATAATTGGGTAAATTCTTAAACTTGCACCTGTGGTTTTTACGTCTTTTCAAAATGATGGTTTGGAACCTTGTGCCTTATAGGTTCAAATAACCACATCAAATATCTCAAATTACATATTTCAATGCATGTGAGTCCGGAACTTCTTGCCCGGGCTAAAGACGACCTCAGAATGTATTTGCCCTTTTCAAATGGGCATGAAATATAAATCGAGTAAAAGCCATGATAATATTGCAATATAGTAGTGAAGAGCATTAACTACTATATACCCAAAACTTCAAGTTCAGGATCTCTCATATATTTGGATCCATGGGATTCTGGCCCAGATCATATAATATAACAAAATATGTGGGGAGCCTTAATTCATCCTTTGAGGTTTATCCTGATATTATCCATTTCACGGTGTATTCTTAACAACCGGAATGTTCACAACATATATTTCTTCCTTGAGGTGTCGATTATAACAAAATCGAACTTCATTAAATTCATCATTTTGTTATGCCAAAGAAATATGTGATGTACCACAATTAATAATACCTCAAGGGTTGTCCATTTAACTGCTGGAAGTTCAGGTTCTCAATATTGTCAGATTTTGAACTTCAGGCCCAAAACGCATATTTTCATGGTATGGACATTTTTATAATTTTCCGTACATATTTTGGGACTTAGCCCCTTACATAATTGTGACAGTTTACCCAAAATGGTTAATATTTATGTATAGTTTCCCGTACATATTTTGTATAGTTTTATAATTTCCAGTACATATTTTGTATATAGTGACAATTACCCAAAATGGTTAATATTTATGTATACGTCACTATTCATGTATACAGTACTATTAACCAAGTCATGAATACATATTCATGCGTATAGTAGATTTTCCAATACAATTACTATTCATGTGTACGACATTATTAACCAATACGGTACTGTTACATTATCAAGGAACTCTAGGTTCTTATTTACATGTCAAGAATCAAGGATCTTCAGGTCCGATCTCTTGTTTACAAATATAGTACTGGAAATACTGCCAGCTCTCATATCATTATCATCATCAAGGATCTTCAAGTCCTGACGTAGTTGTATGATGAAGATTAAGGAATTTCTAGTCCTGATCTCTATATGCTGTAAAACTCATCATATCACACAATTAATTCATAAATTGCTATAAATTGCTTGTAAATAAATTGCTGGTATGGATAATAAACTTGCACCATACTTTAAATAAAGGTAAATGTGTGGTAAACTAAATTGCTTGCTGTATGGACGTTAATTCCACACCATACTTTAAATAGTAAAGTAAATGTACGATAAAGTAAATGTGCTTTCATGGATACTAATTCTACCTCATACTTTAAATAAAAGATAAAGGCAGTTGTGTAGACGATAAACCCACGCCACACTTTTAAATAAATAGGCTTATTATCATAAAACGTCCCTAAGGTTTACGAAACTATCAGATTGCATCATTAATGTTTTTTTTGTGTCATTCGTGGTCCTCAAGGTTAGTATGAGTAATCACAAATGGTCCATACCATTAGGTTCCGTCAAAAACTCCGTTAGTTTGCTGATATGGCATATAAAATTTTGGTTTCCTTTTTAAAATTTTATGAATTTTAAAAAATTTAAAAATATATATTATATTTTAAATACATGTGACACTATATTATTGTAGATGTGGGCTCCATATATATGCCACATCAACAAATTAATGGAGTTTAAAAACAAATTTAAAATTCATAAAATTTGAAAATGAAAAAACTAAGGGTTTAGGGTTCATAAATGGTCCTCAAGATTAAATCCTTCTATAAATGGTTTTTTCATTTATAAATAATTTTAAAAAGAAAACTAAAATTTTATGAATTTTAAATTAAAAAATTAAACAATTTCGTAGGGACCATTTGTGATAGGTGTGTGAACATCAGGGATGTTTTGTGATATACATATATATATATATATGCCACATTAGCAAACTAACAAAGTTTTTTCCAGAACCTAACGGCAGGGATCATTTGTGATCGCACATACTAACATTGAGGACCACGAGTGACACAAAAAAAGATTAAGGATGTAATCTGATAGTTTCGTAAACCTTAGAGACATTTTGTGATAATAAGCCAAATAAATATTGTCATATGAGTAACAAGCCTACACCATACAGTAAATAAAGTAAATGCTAAAGGCAGTTGTGTGGACGATAAACCCGCTCCACACTTTTAAATAAATACTGTCGTAGGGTTAATAAACCTACACCATATAATAAATAAAGTAAATGCAAGGATAAAACCATCACCTAATATATATGAAGTATATAACATATTATATATTGTGGACAATATAACTGCGCCACTATTCAAGATATAATAATATGGGTTTTAAGATCACACTATCATTTTTATTACAATAATATGTGTTACAATGCAATGGGCAATGAAAATTACACCACCATAAAATAACAGGATGAGGTATAAAACCGCACCATTCCAAATTACAGTATGAAAAAATAAATTAAACAAACATGGATGAAACAACATAAAAATTGTGAAAATACAAAAAAGAAAGTTTGCATGTTGTCGTAGTAGTAAAGTGAGAGGAGACATATGACAGATAGGAGACAAAGAAATAACCACATAGTGTTGAGCTGGGATAATTTAGAAGTAAAGAGGAGAGACTATTATGCTAATAACGTGTTATAAAAATAAAATAATTAGAGTATGAAACGTACCACTGAATATTGGGAGTAGAATTATATTTGTTCTTTTAGTGTTTACACCGATATAATTTTCTCTTAGATAGAACTCACTAACACTCAGATTTCACTCTCTCATTTCCTCTCACTCTTCCTTTCTTCTCTTCATTTCTTTCCTCTCTTCTCCGCTGGTGTATCTTGCTAAGCTACGAGAAGCCTATTTATAGGCAAATTGGATGGCTTACCCAATATATCATTAAGCTCCAACATCATCATTAAGATTTTTGAATATTATTTCTTTCTTTTCTTTACGTGGACTTCATCACTTTCTTTACAACAAAAAAGAGACAAACGTGATGAGTTCAAAATTTAACCACAATAATTAATTCTCAAAGGGAAAATTAGTGTCACTTTCTAATTTGCATAATCTGCCAAGGAAATCAAAATCATGTGCGAGAAAAGCAAAGTAAACACTTTTCCCCACTAATAATCCACACAAACAATACTCTCTGATTAAATAATCCCACCAAAGACGGTAAACCACGTGACGTGGCCTCCATCTACAGCAGGTCACAGGACAAACGTTTTGCACGCACATGTACGGAATCTTTCCTACTGGTCCAACCATCCGCGTGTGGATTTCTGGAATCTTCCCCTTCCGTTCCCTTCTCTCCCTCTAGTCTTCGCCACCGAGCGACTCTCTCTTTTTCTGCGTGTCTCTGAATATTGTGAGGACAGAGAAAAAAACAGTGGAAATGGAGAGGTACTTGAAGGACTTCGAGGTGGAGAACAAGAATCCTTCGGAGGAAGCTATTCGGAGATGGAGAAACGCCGTCGCGCTCGTCAAGAATCCTCGCAGGAGGTTCCGCTACGTCGCCGATCTCGCTAAGCGGTCCGAGGCCGAGAAGAAGAAGCGTGAAATCCAGGTCTCTCTCTCTCAGCTTACGCAGTTTTTACGTTTTTGTTTTGATTTCGTTAAAAAAATATGAACACGCCGGTGTTTATAGAGGTTTTGCTGGCCCGATTGTTGGGTTACCGAGAAAAAAAGGGTAGGAAAACAAAAGAAATTAAAACGATTTTCAGCATTTTAATTTGAGTAATTTGGACTGCTAAAAATTCAGTGATCGCTAATCGTAGGTTGTAAATTAAATCGTCATTTCCTACTGAATGGATGATATTTATTTACATGAGCATTTTGGATTAGAACTCACAAAATGAAAGAAAGAAAGACAAGCACGAGGCTAGGGATTTTGTTTCGGCTTACAATGCGTTACGCGTGGGTGGTCCTACGTTTGTTCTCAATTTCTTCATTGTAGTACTGTTTTTGGATCCCCGTCCGTTTTGAGAGCTCGTGGTATTGATGTCTAGGTGAGACTCACGTTAAAAAAGAAAAGAACAAACTACATAAAAACCCCCTAAACTATAGGGTTATTTTCAAGTGCAGATTTGCAACTCATTATTGCAAAATGGGGAAAAAAAAAATTGGGGACATTTTGGAAAATGCCAAAGGAGAGAGAAATGTCTTTAAAAGAAGCCAAACTAGACAAAAATGCCCTTATTTATTTTTGGATTTCCTAAGGAATCCTTTATATTTGCATGTATTTGGTTTGGAAGTTGATGGGTTTTTCTGTCTTTTTCTAGAAAAGTTTTGGCTTTTTTCAAAAGTGAAAGTTTTTGTGTTGCTAAAACATAAAGACTTAATTATTGATATCCCCCCCCCCCCCCCCCCCCCCCCCGCCCCCCTCACCCACCCCCTCCATTCACTTTACCCCCTATACTTCAAACTGAGTCAATATGCCCCCTGTGCTTTATTTTGCGTCCCCCGTTACCTCATTCCGTTAGTTTGGTCAGTAAAATCGTTAACTTGCTGACGTGGCATGGGTATTTTAGTAACTTTAACTATTAAAAATTCGCAAAATTTTAAAACAGCATTAAAACATTTTAATAATAAAATAAATTAGAAAAAAGGGAAAAAATAAATCCCCCAGAACCCGAATAGCCCCCCAAAACCACAACCCAACCCTTCACCATCGCCAAAAACCACCCCCAACCCATGCTTACCATTTCCTCCCCATCTTGCCACCCTGATTTCTCCTTCGCCAAGGTAAAAAAGTAAAAAAAAAACAAAATAAAGTTCTTCAATACGACTTTACTGTTTATAAACTCCAATCGCATAACCTTCATGGCTGCATAGAGAATATGTGAAAACGACAAGCATGAAATCAAATCAAACCCAGTTGGAGAAGATAAGAGAAGCTCTTGCGCCTTGGGGTTTTGGCGTTCGGATAATTTGTTGGGATGGCTACAGCTTGGGGTAGATTGGATTTGTGGGGTTGGGTGTGGATTTGGAGTGTCAGCTCAAAGTGAGTATGGTTGGGGGTTGAAAGTGGCTAGGTGGGTTGGGATTGATTGTTATTAATAGTTTGGGGTGGGTGCATCACCTGGGTGGGGATATCATATTTGAAAAATGGTGGAGTGGTGGCCATAGGTTGGGGGCGGTGGGGTGCGGTGGGGAAGGGTTGGGTTATTGTGGTGGTGGGGCTATTCGGGTGCCAGGGGCTTTAATTTTTTTTTTCTAAAGAACTTTCTAATTATTAAAATATTTTATAAACAGTTTTTGAAAATTTAATTAAAATTTTTGAAATTTTGAAAATTTTGAATAGCTAAAATATCAAAAATACTCATGCCACGTAAGCAAGTTAACAAATTTACTAACCAAACTGATGGAGGGGGGTTAATGGGGGACAAAAATAAAGCACAGGGGGCATATTGACTCAATTTGAAGTGCAAGGGGCAAAGTGAGATTTTCGGTGAAACACAAGGGGCATATCAATAATTAAGCCAAACCTAAATTTACTAAAGCAAAATTACCCACAAAATTTTCAGATTATCAAAGTCAGAGATGCCTTTCATTTGGGAAAGAGAGAGAGAGAGAGAGAGAGAAAGTTGATGCAGAGGGGAGGGGGAGAGAGAGAGAGTTTAAGTACTTATTATGTTTTGGATCCCTTGGCCTTGGTCATCGGCTTGGAGAGAGAGAGAGAGAGAGAGCTGG